CAGCCTTCTCTTCTCCAGGCTGAACAAGCCCAGCTCCCTCAGCCTCTCCTCGTAGGAGAGATGCTCCAGTCCCCTCCTCATCCTCGTAGCCCTCCACTGGACTCTCTCCAGTAGCTCCTCATCTCCATTTTTTGGAGTACGGAAGAGGAAACAATTACTGAAATTGCTTCTGTTGGTTCCAGCTCCTGGGGAGCCATCAGTTTACTTCACACTAAGGAATGAACTTCCCCAAGCAGTTCATGCAGGACAGGAGAGTATTTGGCTTCCGTTGTGTCGAAACGTCTGTTTCTGTTTAACTTGACATATTTTCAGAGTTCAGTCTAAAATCAAAAGGTGCTACCTAAAGAGTTTGAAATTAGTCCCTGCTTAACTCTTCGCAAAATCACTTCCTCAATTTATGATTTGTGTCTGACGATGTGTGAATATCTGCAGTTCCTCTAAGTCTTACATTTTTTATATGATGTGGTAACTCCAAAGGTGTCTTCTCTACCATTTTAGAAGTAACTTCTCCATTTCAAAAGGCCTTCCCAACCACCAACCCCCTTTTCCCTGCCTGCACAGGACAAGATCCATTTGCAAAGACAGACAGACAATTTTCTTAACATATTTCCTAATTAAATACTTTAAATGTAGTAGGGATTTTCATTTTCTAAGGTGTGATGTAAGCAGGATGTTTAATTAAAGAAAAAAAAACAAGAAAACAATATGAACAACGAAAACCAAACACCTTTCCTAAAGAAGAAACATTGAGCTGTCTTAAATGAAAAGTACCTGAAAAACGTCACAAAGAACTGCACCAGGTCCATAAAGTTGCTGTGTTGTGAGAATGCAATCTGCAAAAGAGAAGCAAATACTTTCTATTACTTACTGAAAATTCAGATTTAAGATGCAGTTGCTGGGATGAAAAAATTACAATGAAATACGTCTTAAGTTAACGTTTTTCACCACTGTTTAGAAAAAGCACTGGAATATTCTGAGGGAAAAGAAAGCAAACTATAACTTCCCATTATTTTGAAATCATATATCCAAAAAATGAATCTGAACAAGTAACTTCTCTCTCCCAGCAATGTTCAAGGAATGGTCTTCAGCGCACATTAACAACCTTGGAGAAAGCACTAGTCCAAAAAGTCAGAATGCAGCAGTTTCACAGCGCTAAAAATCGAGCATCTTTAATTACTGTACACACAGTAGCCCAAAGTACGAGGTTTAAAAGTGCAAAATTCACGCTCCTACTCAAACAATACTCGTACATCAAACTCTCTGTAAGTGACTTACACCAAGAGCAGCGAGCAGGCACGAGACACAGAAGAGAACCGATCCTGTACAAACAGCCACGGCATTCATCTCGGCTCCCTTCCCCGCACAGAGAAGTGGAAAAACAACCCAATATTTTGGACAAAGACCAGAGGGAAGAAAGAAGCGAAGAGGAAACTGGGAGGTGGTGAGAGGCAGAAGGAAAGATTAGGGAGCTGGGTTAAAAATAACAAAGCAGAGGGGAGGCAAGCCAACAGCCGGGCGACTTCTGCCACATTAGCAACCCGCAGGTCTCTCCAGGTACCTCCTATTTCCTCTGACCGTCAACCTCGGCACCACGACAGGGTTTTAACTCTTTCATGAAGTAACGGGATTTACTGCAAAACTAAACTGAAATCTGCTCTTACAAAAGCTTTCCACGGATATTAAATTCACTTCAGGCATCATTTGGTTTTGGTTGTTTTTTTTTTTTCTCCTTAATAAACCGCACGCTGCAGCATCATTAGCACAAATACAAATCTCTTCTGCCAGCAACAGTCACACTGCAAAAGTCACGAATATATGCAAAATGAATTATTGCTTGGATTTCTGTTCCCTAGAACACCTTCTCTTATCATATTTGCTTTAAATATCCATCATAACTTGGCATAGAAGCTGCCCAAAATAATTTTCTTCTAAATATATTTAAATGCTCTGAAGTTGAAAGCTCCTTCACAGCACATAACTTCTGCATCGCCGGAAAGCTCATTTGAAACCTGCAGACCAGATGCTTCTGACCTCAATATTACTGCCTACAGAAGACAAGAAAACACGTAGATTCTTACTGACTTTTTTCTTATAAAGTGCTTCCCAACAGCCTTCTGCTGAGAAAAAGAATGTGAGCATGATTTCACTTTTTATTTGAAAACTCAGTGCATGGTAACCGAGACAGGCTTATATTCGTGTAACTATTCTGGTAGTTCTAAGGCAAAGAATATTCTTACGAAAGCATCACATCCCAAAATACAAACCTGTAATATATACAGCATACAGAAATTGTAATATATACAGCATACAGAAATATGGTCTGAGAAGAACTATGATGCTGACCTGTTATAAAAGATGCGTTTCAAAACAAAGACCTTATTCTCTAACTACAGCTTATATTTAAAAATCCTCTTGTAGAAAAAGCAAATTAACAGCATAAACAAATCATCAAGGGGTCAGCCCCCTGCAGACGATCATTAGGGCCAGTTTGTGACGGAAACCAAAGCTTGCTCCAGTTAGAATCTGAAGAAGCAGCACGTATCTCCTAACTTTAACTAAGGACAGGTTCTATGAAAGATTAACTGGACTGCAAACTCATCGCTAAGCCATTCCAGGAGAAGGGCTTCTCATTTTTTGGTGACAGCAGTGTAGGAAATAAAACAGAGAAGGAAAATCTGGGTTCGTTTCCAACAGAAGCACTACAAATGCATTACCAGTGGCGGTTCTTTTGCCTGCCTGGTGGAGCTCTTCTCTCGCAAAGACCAGCCGAGGGCCCGTACCTCAGACACGGATTAAAAAAAAAGCCCAGGTTGGCTTCTGCAATTTACTTCTCCCAAGCTGGAAACACTTTATGCTATTAAACCTGACCAATCTGTGTCACAGGCAATTTAGTACCGTAATTGTTAATGGTTTGCTTACTTAGAGCTTAATTTCCCCTAATATAATCTGTTCTCAGGACTTAATTAATTCGGCTACATAGAAAGTTTGGTTAGAAATAACTGTGAAAAGCAGACTGTTCATTCACGATACAGGAAAAATATGGCACAAATTTCTTAGCAGTATGGATTTTTAATTAAGTTTAAATGACAGCAGAAGATTCATTTATCCATTCTCCAAAAACTCATTTTGTAGCGAAGGAAGCAGCAGTGTAACGGCAGGAAAACACGGTCCATCTCGCGCCGGGGACTGGGCAAGCGTTCCCCAGGCACCGAGCGGAACGTCAGCGCAGCTGCAAAATCCAATTGCCACTTCTCGTAACGTACGCATCCTTTAGAGGCGTTTTACACTACGTTCTCAGCAAGCAGCATCCTTAAGTAGTTAAGATCAAAACAAATTAGAAAATTAATTACCTTAATTCCAGGGAATATGAGAAAGCTTGTGCTTATCTGATCTGAAAAGGTACCTGAAAAAGCTTATCAGCCTATCGTGCTTTTTCGAACGCCACATCATTGGAAGCATCAAAAAATTTTGGCTGCTTTCCAGGTGAATAAAAATAGCTGGCTATCCAGACAGATAAAAATGCATAATTGAGAGCTTTACTTTCTTTATCATTTGATTAGCATAAAATATTAAGCCAAGCAGAAAAACCGGCTGCTTCCAACATCATCTAAAAAGTGCGATAGTTCTGAAATCGGTGCACACGTATTTCAAAGCAGTTCGCGGCAAAGTATTGGCCACAAAATATTTTCTGTAAAGGAAAAGCAGCTTGAACCCAACTGACATTTCGGTAAGAGTTGATATTTCAAACCTAAAATACTTCTGGAGTTCAACTACCGCCGGTGACCAATATAAATTTTGACAAACAAATTGGGACGATTGCACACCAGGAATGAGTCTGCGTTAGCACCCGAATTTGTGCTCCAAGAGAAAAGAAACTTGAGAAAATTTCAAGAGAATAAGTTTGTGCAAAAACAGGTCCAGCTGACTCTCAGTCAACAGCTTATTTTGAAGCAAGTTCACCTTGTTCATGCAAGTGCAACATCTATAGCTATTCAAGCCTCCATTCTTTGATTTACAAGTGCTTTGAACTCATTAAAAGGTACCTGAATTTCACAAACCACTGAGAGAAATTCTTATCACCAAACCAATGCGAAATTCGGTAGAAATATTGTTTTGTTAAATATAGCAAGAAACAAGTTTGAGTAACGGCTCTCTCCTACCTGCAATAAACGGATTTACAGATAAATCATCACTGCCACTTGTCATAGAACCACAGAATCATCAAGGCTGGAAAAGACCTCTCAGATCATCAAGTCCAACCATCACCCCAACACCACCCTGCCTGCTAAACCATGTCCTGAAGTGCCACATCTACACTTTTTTTGAATCTGTTCATTTACAGGAATGGAAGCCAAACTAGTAGCCGCAACAGGGACAGGGCAAATATCTCTCCAAACCCAAAGACTTTCTAATATTATACATAATATTCGTACTCCTAATCTAAACTTGTTACCTGAAGAACTGCTAATGTACTGAAGAACGTTTCAAGTACGGCATTTTCATAACAGAATTTGGAGCATCCTGAGTATCTAAATGCTTGAGAAAACACAAGCCAACACAGAAAACATTGCTTCTACAACTTTTCT